CAAGAGACTAAGATTAAGAAGACATTTGTAGTGTTGACTTAGGCAATAGATCTAAGTATCACTCCAGGACATACGATATAGGAAATAGGATACGTTAAAGCGACAAGACGCTTTTGAGTGTTGACTTAGGCAATAGATCTAAGTATCACTCCAGGACATACGACATAGGAATTAGGATACGCTGAAGCGACAAGACGCTTCTAGAAGATAGGAAATAGGATACGTTGAAGCGACAAGACGCTTCCAGAAGACCGACGACATACTCAGTGACTTCCCCATAAGCGTGGGAACAGATTTCCAGTACAGACAAAGGGACAGAGCGTAGTTCTCTGTTTAAGTGAATACATTCAAGCGGCCCATTTCTTTCTCCTGATTCAACTAGGTCATCCCCGACTTAGATAGACCGGGACCCTAGGCAACTGTGTGACTACATACTAGCACTACAGTTCGCGCGACAACGTGTGGGTGTGGGTTGATTGTCCTGGGGGGTCAGGTCGGTTTATGGGGATTCGTCGACTTGGTTGGGGGCTCACCGTCATTAAGGAGAGTAGATGCTTGGGTTAGAGGACGTTCTCTCCCGCTGTTCTAATAGTCGCCCCTGCTTCGATTCTCATGGCCGTTAACCGAGGTCGTGGCAGAGGTGGTTCGATTTTACAATGCGAATTATGGTTGGCTGCCTTTATAAGAGCGGTTGGCTCCGGGTGACGTATGGTGAGCGGTTTGCTCCGAATGGTGTCCAGGTCGTGGGTCTCGCCCTTTAGTTTGCAGGGTCAGGTTGTGCGTCAGGGCACCTTCCTCGGTTGCGTCGGTGTCGAGGGTGGGGCTGCTGTTTGCATTGTCGGCACTGAGTGTTGCACCGAGTGGCGCTCGGTGCGGCCGTTTCTTTTCTGGGTTGCTCTCCGTTATGGCCGTTTGCTATGGGTTGGGGCCCGTAGGCGGTATTTCATTGAGCAGGGGTTTGTACGACATTAGGGGTAGGTACTACGGTGTGTGCATATTCGTGGGTCTATGTGTCTGTGTAGCGTGCCGTGTTGCTACACTAGCGTCTAGTTACGGGCTTTACCTCTGCCCTGTCCATTGCGGCGCTTGCCTTTGTATCCGCGGTTCTTGTTGCCGGAGCCCTCGCTCTGGGTGGGCAGGGCGGCGATGACGGGGGCAATGGATTGTCCCGGCAGGGCTTGGGGGGCGGTGTCCTCGGTGTCCAGCCAGTTCGCCATCGCCGGGTAGTCGCAGATGGAGCGCTGGTGGTCGGTCCCGGAGCAGTACGTGCATCGCATCGGGTCGGCTTTCGTGCCCGTGCCCCACTTCGCCTTGAAGTGTATGGCTTGGATCATCTTGATCCATCCGGCGTGGCGCTCGGCTGGGACCGGGCACTTCATGTATACGTTCCATCGGTTCTCGAAGCCCGCCGTCGCGTTGTCTCCCCGTGGGAGGCTGATGTGTTTGATGTCGACGGACTTGAGGGTTGCGTCAATGAGGGCGTCGACGTCGTCTATGTTGTTGTCGATGGCACCCGCCGTGACCATGTTGATGAAGTTCGCGTTGTTCTCGAGGTTCTGGACGATCTCCGTTCGGAGCGGCCCTATCTGTTGAGGGCGGCATGGGAGGTTCTTCAGCGACACTGCGAAGGACGGGATCGGGACGGGGTTCGGGAGGACGAAGAAGGTCCCGACTCTTGTGGACCATGCGGGTTGCGAGCGGAGAGTGTGGGCGACGTTGCGGTTTAGGCCGGTGACGAGGTAGAAAGGTTCCGCGCGGGCGTTGTTCGAGGCCGGTTGGTAAGGCAGGACGTCTCGGATTTCCCCTTCGGGCGGGGCGAACTCTTCTTTTTCCGGCGGGCAGAGGAATTCTAGCGTGCTCAGGAGGAACTCCGCGCAGACGCTGGGGTTGGCGTAGTCTGCCGGGCGAGGGGGGTATAGGATGGCCGCCGTGTTCATGTCTTGTTCGTTCCAGGCTTCCTTCTGTGCGGGCATGGTGTTCTCGAAGATGCCCAGCCAGGTGCAGGTTTGTGGTAGCGGGAAGGGCTTCTCATCCGGTTTAGCGTACTCCCCTTCGAAGGTGAGGAGGACAGGGGGGGGTGCGGCGTCCGGGGGGGGATCCTGCATGTGTTGGTCGGCTTGCTCGTTCTCCCCGTTTGGGCCCTGCGTTCCGACCGGGTTTGTGGCGGAGGGGTTCGCGGGTAGGGAGGGTCGC